GCGTAATGGGATTAAATGTTGTCAATATTAGATACATGTAATATATATGTTTTTGTGAAACAATCAAGTATAAAATCTAAATTGCTAGCCTAGATAAAATACGTGATACACTGATACGTCATGTACATGTCTTACACTCTAACGTTTATAATGTTTGCTATTATAATATTATACATCACCATACGTATATAAAATCTCTGTAGCCGACCTTATCAAACAATATATTATACAATTTAGTTTTAATTTTTGCACGACGTGCAATCTATTGTACACGAATTGATAGTTCGACCGACTTTTATAATACCTATTCTGCGTTATAAGCAGAAATTGGCATTATCCCTACGACAAACACCACCTGTAGTTAATTTGAATTTTGATAAAACGCAGATAATGTACAATTGGAGAAATTCAAAATATAATTTCTATAAGGATGTCTATACTTTCGTTTTAATTATATATCTCTGTTACGATTCATTAGATTATTCTTAACGAAAATAAAATAATAAAATCTTGCGATACACTTTATACAACATAAATACTATACAAAAGATATGCCAAAATTTAATTATTATACTTCCAGCAAATAATCTAAAAAATAATGTATATACATAAATAATGATTACTTGTCAATCAAGACAGTCAACCAGTGGACGTGTTTGTGATATTCACACGGGCATTGAGGTGTACCTCCGACGTGCCAACGTCCATAAATGGATGAAATAATTCAGGTATCTCCAAACCACTGTGCTCGGTCGAGATAACACTCGTCATCATTATTACTGATGTTATTATTATTATTACTATTACTACTAATAGTACTAGTTTTATTATTATTAATATTATATTAAAGAGATGGAATCACGTATGTAACATACCATATAAGGTATAACAGCTGTTTTGTCGATGTTGTGCAACTAAAATTATTTATTCTACACAAATTTATTGTTAGACTGATGAGTTTTATTTCTGTTCTTTTGCAAATTTACTATAAAATACCCCCAGATGTAAATAGCCTAAATACACGTAACAGGGAAGTGTAAATGACCTATAGTTCGAAGTTATTGTTGAACATAAAAAGTTCGTTAAACTCGAGTAAAACAATTTCAAATTGATACACGTAGCACACCTACTTATTATTATTACACCTAGTATATTTATTATATAGTCTAATTCTATAAAATTGGAAGGGATAATGTTTCATAACAAATTGTTTTATGATTAAACTAATGAATCTTTTCCTAAGACTATTATACAATTTGCAAATTGCAAGTGTATGTACGCTGCATTATTTAAGATATTATGTAAATTGTAAAGAAATTTACAAAAATAAGTTATATTAACAGGGAATATTATGTGAACTTACAGAGAAATAAATAAGTAAATTAAAGGTGACAAGTGCGTATAATGTACATACACTTTTAAAGTATTATTAATCTGAGTGCCACTGTATATTATTTATACAATATAATGTATAAAATTGCATCGATAATTTATGTATTGAGGCACATAGGAAAACCGGAATACCGAAATAAATAACTTTTAGGTTTCGTATCTTTACTTTGTTTTATCTTTAACAAGCAAACTTGTGAATTTTAATATTTACCTATAAATTGTTAATATATTATCTCATCTTATTTGGCAAATTATTTTTTTTCTTAAATAACTCATTTTCGCAAGCACAAATTATTTTTCGTAACTTTAAAAACATAATGGTTGGAATTGAAAATGTTTATTTTTCCTTATGCAAGGTAAAATTAATTAATTTAATTACTGAACATAAAATTTCAGTATTGTTGAACAACGTTAAAAACGAAAAACAAATTTGAAATAGGTATTATTTGATACTTCATAAATCATAAATAGGTGCATTGTAGTAAATGATAATCTATTTTTTTAATTATATAGAATTGCCTACGATAAATAGAAAGAATTGGATGATATAATATGAATAATGTTGATAGTTATCAAAACAAATTATTGAATTATAGAACTATACTATATTTATATACTTACATAATATTATGATAAAAATTGATCATTTTGTTTGTAAATTAAAGCAAAACAAAATTGATTCAAAATTCCAAGAATTCTTTAAAAACAAAAATTTAATAATTATTCACACATACATCGATCAATGTATAAAATACGAGGATTTTGTTTAAACTTTGAGCATAATTTTACGACAATACGAGTTTTTAGTTTGTCTTTCTTCTCGATAAAAACACTAAAAATATTTATGATAAATATTCCAAGATATTTGATAATACAATTGCTTTAAACAATTTTCAGCGTTTTCATTAGTATAATATTTGTAATTTGTTTTACAATAAAAAAATAAAATTATGATACTATTAACAAATGATATACGTGGTAAATAAACTCATTTACTGGCATAACAAAATGTTAGCAACTATTATTATGTTTTGAAGTCTATGGTGTTGCAACAGATACCTCATTATTTTGTTTACTTATACATTTTTTATGTCAGTGTAATAATCTACTTCTAATGCCTTGGGAGAAAAAAACGATTTAGTGTTGAGTGTGTATGAGTTATTACACAAGAAGAAAATAAAGAAATTGATAAACACGTGAGAAAAATATTTTTCATTTGACATGTAACTTCTCTTTCTAATAAACATTAAATTAAAGTGTGTTTTTTAAAACATCAATAATACTTATACTTCTAGATATGCTGGAATGTATCAACACAGAATCGTTAATTTTGAGAATATTTATTTGTTTAGAGGAAATTTCATAATTTAAAATTTAATATTATGAGATTTATACTGTAGATAATCATTATTTTGTAAAAATAATATATTTATTAAATAATAACCAGGTAAAGAACAATGTGTCTTTTTTGAGTGTTCAACGACAAAGGTATTATTAAGTCATAATTGTGTACTAAGATGAATACAGATATTTAAAAATTAGGACTTAATATTTTATTTAAGGTATATACAATATTCACTATCATATGAAGAACAGACATAATAATAATTTCAAAATTTAATGAATTATTAAAAATCAATAAAGTAATTATTTGTTGAAAGCAAAGCAGTTCAGTAGAAATTAAATCGTATTATTTGGACATTATATTATAATCTTCTAGATGTTAATTACTTTTTATACAATACGTAATAAAAGCATAGTGTGTAAGAACTTTTAACGATTCATAATTCACAGAAGTTATCTATATTTATAGAATTCAGTAAAATTGAATTTGTTATGAATCAATAGTTAAAGAAAAATAGTAACCAACGAATTCTAAAAATAATGATTTTTAAGGATATCTTACTAATGAATAAATTTCATTTTAAGTATAGATTGTTAAATTGTTTAATTTTAAGCACATAAAAGTGGGCAAGTGAGCATCACTAATTTTAATTATTAGGTGTCGAGTGATCCACTTGAATAAATGTGTTAAATTTGAAGTCAATGATATACAAAAAAATTGTTCTGAAGATATTTAAGTTATAAAAATTGAACATTCTATATATTTCTAATTGCAAAAAAGTTTGTACATTTTTATGATATTAATATTTAAAATTTTTTTTAGCTACTTGTAATTATAGAAAAAAACTTAACAGAAATTAAAAAATGTTTCATACCTATTGCTTATAAATAACTCAGAGTGTTAATATATTTTGCAAATATACAATGTACAGAAAATGCTAATGCTTGTATAGATACTTTATAAAAATTTTAAATGTCTATGGTTTTTTTTTTTTTTTAATTAATCTTAAAATAAGAATTGATTTTGTCAACAATTAATTTTGTGTAAAAATTCTAGTTTTTTCTATTTTGGTTCTTTTTATTTTGAAATTATTTGAATTAATTTTTTTGACTTCTTAAAGTACTAACTAAATTCACTAAAATACCAGAAAATCTATTAAAATCAAAAGAATTTTACAGTTCTAAAAGGCGATGACAGACAAAAATAAAAGAAAAAAAAAAACACACATTATAAAACCAATACCTACATTTATAGCCTCACTCAGAATCTAAAGTACCTATATTTGATGGGTACCTACCTAGCAAGACACCAATAAATGTAATAATTATATTTCATCAATTAATGAGTTAAAAATAGGTATATACTACGTTAACAATAAATTAATATTTATAACCAACGGGCAACGATATAGTATCAATAATTTAAATTGCACTGCATAACTAAACAATAAAGTTTAAGAGACAGGTGTCTCTTCCAGGCCTCCGAAAATGCAGTTTTGTTCGATTGTTTTTTTTTTTTTTACATTAATTTATTACAGTTGAAACATGTGTGCTGAAGTTGTTTTCCGTTTTGTTATCAAAATGGTAATTGCAAAATAATCTAGAACTGGTCTCACGGCTGAATTACATAATAATTCCATTTGGGAACCGTGTCACGCTGCACCGCCGTCGCCTATAAGAGCTTCTCCATTAACTACGCAGTGGTGCGTCGAGTGAAACGTAATTTAAGGGACTAGCTAGCATAACATTAAATGTGTCGAAAATCGTAGTTTTAATTTTAAGATATATAAAACTCAGTGTATTTGCGTATTATAAGATATACAAAAATTGTGTACCTAGTTATGTGATAACACAACGTATTATATTCTTATCGGTCCGCTGCGTTATACGTCTTGTGAAACTATTGACCACAACAAGGTTATACTAATAATAATAATAATATTATATATATATGTATTATAATGTTTAATAATTATTATTGTTGTAGTAAATACGAATTTATTTCAAATTATTTATTAAAGCGATTTATTTTAAAAATAAATACTTTTAATCATGACTTGGTTTCATGCACTAATAATATACATTTTAATATTTTATAACGTATTCATCTTAGTTATGTATTAAAGGTTTAATTTTTAGAATTAATTATTTTTGGTAAGTATTTAACAAAGTTGTTACCTAGTAGAATGGTATTATTATAAACGAAAAAATATTTTCTTAAGCAATTATAGGCAGGTATAATTTTATGAAAAACGCTGACTTACCACATGGCTTGTACCGAGACGGGTTTAAAAATATGTTGACGGCTGCATACGCTAACGCTGAATCCTCTGAAAAAAAAAAAATATGTGTCATATAGCCGACGAAGGAAGAAATAAAAGAAAGTTATCCAAGAACAATATTGTTGTAGGTTATGAGCAAGATCGTAAAATATTGAGATGGAAGTAATAAAAAAATATATTATGTATTGTTATTTTCTTTTGTACTATATAGAAACGGAGCTGGAAACCGAAAATGAGACTTTGCTCAGAGGAGCACACGTTGATAAAAGCAACCAGTCATCAACAAAACAAAATAAAAATAAAGAATTTTACTCTAGGTGTTACAAAATTTTAAGTTTATTGGCACACTAAATTAGGTAGTAAAAAAAAAATATTTAAATAATAAAATAAAACCAAACGAGTGTGATGAAAATTTTCTAGAGACAAAATTGAAGATATTATACGGTTTAAATATTTACAGTTTATAATATTTTTTTAAATAGTAACAAAAAAATTTAAAACAAATTAAGTAAGGAAATTAATAAAAATATTAAAAAGTCAATAGTGGAAAATTTACATTAAAATTAACGAATTGATAATTATGAGATAATTTTTATTTCAAACAATTGTTAAAATAATTAATTAAGTAAAGGCTGTAATCATCATACAGATAAGAATATTTAAAACTTAACCTAAATTGATGGTAGTAAGGAAATTTTAATTTTAGATTACTAGTTATAAATTATAATGCACATACCTATACTATTATACCAGGACTTTTAATGTGCCCTAGTGTTTATTATGCAAATTAATAGTAAAAATGCATTCAATAATATTTTTATCATTTATAAATTACAGATAATTAGTATTTTATTTAACCATAAAATAATTACCATACCGAATAACTAAATGCAATCAAACAACTTTAAAATAGAATATTTTGAGCGAAGTCTATCAGGCATAAAAAATAAAAACAGGTGGATGAAACAGAATAAAAAATGTATAACCGAGAATATTATGAACTTTAATACCAAGTATAAACTTATAAAACTTATCAACTTATTAAACTTTTTGATGTTGACAAGCAAATTAACGTTTTTATATATAAAACATTAAAACCTTTTAAAAAAGTTTTTACAAAAAACTTCGTGTAATTATTTTAAGTTTAAATTCTAACTTACGTAACTATATATGTATATATATATATATATATTATATTATATTATAATAGATATTGTCTTTTAATATTTAAAAAAAATTTAAAATTAGTTATTAGAATTTTTGAATTTTAAAATAAAAAATGTTTTACAATCTTGGTTAGTGTGAAAATAATTAAGAATATTAACTTTTCTTGTTTTGAACTTGGTCATGAATACAAGTTATGACAAAATTAAACCAATATTTTAGACATTTTAAATATAAAGTATACCTAATAGCATCATCTATCATTTAATATATATTTATTTACCCATCTCCGTCCAGCGTGATTGTAGTATCTGCCAGAAGTCTAAGCACCAATCCAATAGTAGTACTCTGGTTACAGTCAAGACCCAAAAGACAGGATTCCTCTTGACGATTTCCATTTATACAAGAAACTACAACTAAATATCTGGTACGGCCAGAATGTACGCTTTCCAGCTTTACTGCCTAAAAAAAAAATAAATATAATAGTTAAATTTATGGTTTATTTTTAGTGTTTTATTACTTTAAGTCAGAGTGGTTACTTATAAGAAAATTATATTATTATTTTATTAATTCTTATTAGAGTTTTTTTAAAATTTATTTACATTTTGTTTTACAATTAATTTCGACAATTTATTATAGTTAAAACTTAAAAGTTAAAACATGATGTTTATTATGAAATTATGTTCTGGTATAAAAACATTATTTACATTAAAAATATAAAGTAGCTATTAGAATGAATATTTTATTTTAAAATTAGAGTAAATTTAAAAACATTTATTTATTGTCTATCGAAAAATACGATCACGTTTTTAAATTAAAAAACTAAAAAGAATTACAAAATATACAATATTCTACAGTGGTATAGCCAGGATTTTTCTCCAGGGGTAGAGGCTTTTATCAGATTTTACACAGCAGATGTTTACCTAGAATTATATGCAGATACCGAAGTTTTATTTTAGATTTGGTTCCTATAATTCTTAACATACATTGATTTAATAATACACGTGTATACTTAAAATACTATAGGTTTTGTATTTTATAATAATAATAGAAAAATTATTTTACAGATATTAATAAATAAAAATAAAAAAAAACCACGAAATGCTAATATTTTGTACTATTACGACTGAAGCACAATGTTGTATGTATTAAATACTTAGGTACTAGTACGGTTATATAGATATAAAGTGAAAATATATTAGTAAATTTTTATCCACGAACAAATAAGAAAAGCTAACAAAATAAGATGGTAATTTAAAATCAATAAAATACAATTTAAAACTTTTGTAGCGACTTTCATAAACCATTAAAATTATTTTTAAAGTTTCTTAATATTTTTTTTTTGGGGGGGGGGGGGGGGGGCTGTAGCTACCGGTATGCCATTTAGAGGTAAAGTATGTCATTGGGATATTTTAGAAGCGGTGAAAATTTTAAGTTTTATTATCCCAGAAATGTTATACAGGAATGTTTTAAGTCCATGACTTCTATTATGTACGTACCATATATTATCAATTATGTTAGAAGTGCTACTGATATTGTGCACTAAACTTTTCAGTTTTAACAACTGAGTCATAGCAGCTTAATATATTGACATGGTTATTTACCTGCAGTAAATATATTCGTATGTTATATTAAAACACTAAGTTAGTCAACATTATGTTATGATTATTAAATATATTCAATACAATTTTATTGGAATACAATGTCTTAGAGGACAATTATTTAAAAAATAACAGTTAATTAAAACAAATATAAGCGCCAAATAACGTCCAAAAATACTAAATTAAATAATATAAATAATATTTGTAATATTAGGTTTTATAAACTTTTTAAGATACATTATTTCTGCACGCGTATAATTATTTATAGAATAATAGCTAATTAATATCTAAGAAAACATTAAATTTAATTTAAAAAACAAATTATTAGAGAATATAGATTATATAAAAATACTTTTTTGAATTCTATATTTGATACATCTATACTAAGAAATTATTTTTTACAATGATAACCCTTTAAGAATTTTTATAACAGCAAAATTTGGTGCGCACATAAATAAAATTTATATTTTTGTTAGATAAGTATGATGTGTCAAATGGACTTAACGATGAATAAATGAGCGAGCAAGTGAGTTTCAACTTTTATAGTTGACATGAAAAAATATCTTTCTAAACATCTACCGGTTTAGGTTATCAACATCATATTATGTGTATTAACATTATAATTCATAGGTGTATGAAATATAATATTACATTGGATGCAAATAGTGACGAACAATAAATAACATGTCCTGGCGAATACCTCGAGGCTATTGGTGTTAAGAAGTGAAAACGCACAATTAGCCAAGCGAAATCGGTCGTCGATAAGTCTTTAATTTTCCCTTCGGATCAACATGCACGCTATTCTGATATACGTATATATACTTGGGTGACTAGGCCATTATAACATCATTAACGAGATATTTTTAAATTGACAAGTAAATAGCGTTCGTCAAAAATAATACATCTATGTCCCACAATTATACCATCTCTTGAACAGCAATATTTTATACATTTTTATTAGTTTTAAATCACGTTTTTATAGGTTTAGAAACTAAATATTGTCTATGTCTATCGGTATATGTTCAATTTTTTAAAACACAATGCTTATCAGTGGCGAATCCAGGGGGTGTACTCCGGGTCCGGACTCTCTCCCTCCCCCTAGACTTATGTCATAGTATTTATTTTTATTTATTAAAGTTACTCTGAAATTTTTATCAAATTTTATTGATTAGATTGATCATTAGATTTGGTATTTTGTTGATTACATGTTGAATTTGATGTATAGATAAAATCAATATTAAGATTAATGATTATACCATAATTTAACTGGCATAATAATAATAATTAATTTACATACATTGTAAATATAAATTAAAAAATTAAAAAATATGTATATTAAATAATATAATTTTGTTTATCAAGCAATAAAATGTATGTGTTATTTAAGAAAAAGAACAGAAAAACAGTAGATAAATAAAAAATTTTGGACCGACCCCCCCCCCTCTTGAATAAATCCTGGTTACGCCATTGATGATTATCAATTATTATTATTGTAATAAACGGATTATACTTATATAAACGTAAAATAAATTAGAGCAATAATATTATACGTGATACATAAAATTAAATTTAAATGCAACTATAAAAATATAATGGACAAATGCAATTAATACAATAATTATTTTAACAGATTAGAACAAATTCAACTAACATAGATTTTGAAACATTAAATTATATTTATTTTATACACGTATTACACTATTACACATTATAATTATTAATTACATATCATTATTACACTTGATATTACATTTACATGATAATTTCGCGCAATTGAGTATTGACCCTATTGACCTTCTTCTATGTATGTTTTCAGATTGTTATAATTTTACACAGAGTGCATAATTATTTATTTTTTTAAAATTATATCACTATATTCAATATTACATATTTCTAGATCTTAATTTGTAAAATATTTTGAATTTCCAAATAATAATCTTAGTTTGTAATAATTATGACTGTATAGAGGTTAAAACATTCTTAAAATATGAAAATTTGGGCTCAGGTTGTATAATGATTGGTATATAGGTTTTTTAAGCCATAGAAAAAACTAATGAAAATGAAGGTCAATATTGTTTTATGATTTTACACAGTATAATATTAGTATTAGTGTTTTTGTCCTTAATAAATGAATCACATTATACGCTAGTAACTAGGCAATGACTATAAATTTAGATCTCATTTTATCGAATAATTAAACAATAGAATAGATATAATGTTATAAAAACACAATATTAGATTTTCTAAACATGATCACTGTTTCACCATGTTTTTACATAAAATATTGGGTCGTATGACATTTTATATCCATGTACATATTACAAATCTAGTCAATAGTCAATTAGTCAGTTTTTTAAGACAATTTAAACTTTTCACTAATTCTAAAATATACAACAAATGTATTTAAATTTAATATATTTAAATTCGATCACTAAATTTCTGATTATAATCAGTAATAACATAGTAATATTTTTATTTGTTTTTAAAACAACCACGGCCTTGAATCCGTGAAAGTGAATTCGATTGTTTAGTATAATGTGTCAACCCCACTATTATATCTGTTTGAGAGGTATCGATTGTGCCCCATTAGAAATCTACGTGGGCACACCCTTCAAATGTTTCATACATTAAATTTTTTAGCTATCAACTATAAAAATCAAAGAGCTTTATGTCATCACTGATATTATCAGATGAGTGGGCGTTACGTTCGTAAAACGCGATGATCGCAGTCACCTAACGTCTTAAAAATAAGTGACCTTAAACTTTCTTCGAGTAAGACATATAACGTCATCCACAAACTAGTTTTAGCCTAAAAGTCGATTATCCACGATTTACGAGTTTGCTAATTTGAACTTTAGGCTTTAACAATCATTTTGTGGTATTAAATCCATTGTTTTTCATCGATCGTGGTTACTATTATTATCTAGACCTTCAACAATAATAATAATGACACGTTTGCATGAAAAACCGAAATCACCTTGGCCTACAGGGCGCAATATACGTATAAAATTATGTGTAAACAGTGAAAAATCGACCAATTATCCAGGACAGACAAGTTAGTTGAATATAACCTTGAGCAGATATTTGATAATACGATTATGACCCCTACAGTAATGATTTCTTTTAGTAAGCAGTTGTTATGATCAGCAGTTAGCTAATCATTTATATATTATGAGATAAGCTGCAATGCGAAGAAGCTTCTTAATGAATTTTTGTTTGTATGTTTTTGAAAAATGACATAAAATACAGGTATTTTTAAGTCATTTTGCAAGGACAGTGTAACTATTATATAAATTATAATATTGATTTAAGTTAAAATTATAAATGAACAACCTAAAACGTTATACATAAATTCAAGGTAGTTTGAAAAATAAAAAAAATATTAAAAAATGATTGATAACTTGTTATTAATGTTATCTAGTAGTATATAAATGTTGACCCTCATCGTTGCTAGTCATTATATATTTAAGAGTAGATACATATTAAAACGACCAAAATGTATATTTAAATTATGATTTACAAATGAAATAATTATTTATATTTTTCATTTTAAAATATTTAACACGTTGAAAAAGGGCTTTTAAGCAGTTTTGAAAAATGTTTGTAGTGTAATTGTTAACTACAGTTTTTAATAAAAATAAAATAAGTAGCTGATCTTCCAAACCACCTAAAACATAGTAGGTATAATATAATAATAATATTAACGATCATCTTTTATTAGAAATCAAATAATTTAAATGATACGTCATATTATACAGAAATAAATAATAAAACATAAAAAATGTGTACTTCACACTCGCGCCTAACCATTAAGCAATCTGAACTTGTGGAAGTAAAAAATATAAGCGGCACACATTGGATGCATTTAAAATCGTTAACTTGCACGTTTAAGAAAATAAGCCACGATCGTCTGTCTCCTTGTGAAGGTTGCACACGAGTTTAAAGTCGTGAAGTAAAAGGATTTCGGTCGAATATAATTATATAGCAGGATGAATTATCATACTTAACTGAATGCATTGCCTAACAGGATAATTATATAATCCACACGACACTATGTGTTGTAGTACTACAGGATTTTTGGATGACGCGTTTCAATATATGGTTATATTATTATTCAATATACATATAACAATGCATTATAATTAAGGATATTGCATTTTAGAGGCTTAATTACAGGAGTGATATGGATTTCCATCTATAAGCATTGTTTTTGTATATTCTCCAAACAATTTTGAATTAATAACAAAAGAATAACCAACACTTTTTTTGAAGTACCTATAATTTAAAAAATATTCGATATCGTTGCCTACTTAATATATGCCATTAACCATTTAGCAACACTATAATCATTATCTACATCAAGAAAAATAAATTGTTCACGTAAAGTATATTATGTCAGTATTATTATATTTTAACGTTCTTTGGGGTTTTTTTAAATAAAACATGGAAACAATTATTACGAATAAAATCCATGGATACTCAAACACTCGCGGATCCGCGTTAACTTACCATGTTCAGACTGTCGTCGGGCCTGAGTATGTGGAACATGGACTGCAAATGTGCCTGTATGTCATTGGCACGGGTCTGCATCTCGTCTTCGCCCGCGGACAGACGACTGGACGACGGGGCGGATTGCGAATGATGTCTGTGCGAGTGCTGCGATTGATGGTGGTGTCTTTTACGGCGCGACTGTTGCTGTGGTTGCTGTTGCTGGTGTGACGTGAGCGAACATAGCACCGCCGCCGAACCCTTGTTGGCGAAATAACACTCGCTAAGCCTGCGGGACAGAGTTAAAACGGATGAATTAGGTATGACTATTATATTATAACGTCCAAATAATAAACATATTATAATGCGTAACATAATTAAATTCATGTCATATACATGTACATGATATCAAACATATTATATTTCGTTCGATAATTACAGAAACGAAATGATCGGTGCACGTCGTAGACCCCATGTACAAATTACTATTGTCCAAATGTATACGTCACGGATCGTACCTTTTCAGTAGAGTCTCGTCAACAGGTACGCGCTACATAATATAATTACAACGTGTTGTCTGTAGAAAACCGTAATAATACACTCAACATCATCATCTATATAGGTAGGCACAGTAGTTGAAGGTATATCGTTCGTGTTCTTGTTTTTTTTTTTTTTTTTTTTGTTCGAGGGGGATGCGTGTTAGTGTATGTGTGTGTGTGTGTGTGTGTGTGTGTGTGTGATTGATGAAGAAACAATTTTTATTTATCTACGTAACAGACGTATAATGATAATAATGTGGTCTGGTCGATGTGGGTACCTACCACACGAAGGCACTAGGTATAAATCACGAACTGCAGTGATCGTCATAATATGAGAAATTCGATCCGCACACAGAATCCTCGTCATCGTGTCGGTCGTCAGGCCATGCGTGCAGTTCCTATCGTGTTACACATATTAATATATAATATGTATTATAGCTGATATTACTGCAGCGGCAAGGTTTTTATTGATTGTACTAAACCCTCAAAAACTATACAAAGTATGTCAGTTTTAAATAATTATTAAAAAAAATCTTAATCCTATATTACGTATATGGTACCAAGATAATATTAGCAGATATTTAGTTATGGCAAATCAAATGTTTTTGGTTGTTTTTTTCACGGTTGAGTGTGTGTGGTGATTGAGAGGGGAGATGATGCGCGTGAGCAATAATTATTACATACGATTAACTTTATAAAACCTAATATTATTAGCATTAATAATTTAATTAAAATTTAATGTATAAATATTTAACGCGTAACACTTTATATGTCATAACTCATAATATATAGTTGGACGATTATTAGCAAATGGTGACGACGTGTAGAAAGCGAGAGAACGGTAGCTATATAGGTATATAGGTAAACATTACATAGTCAAAAAATACAAATGCGATGCAATCTTGGTAATTTTCTATGTAACAGAGAAAAATAATATAGGGTATTATCCTGACAAGGACCTAATAGATATAGTTATTTCATGTGGCAGGCGCGTGTTACGCATCACGTGTAGAGCGAATACATACACTATACATTATTACATTTCCTTTATATATTACTATGATTGCTAATATAATTATACGATAACTATATTATAATATAATAACTATTATTTTTTTACACAATTTTTATGGTACAAATTAATAAACTATAAAATAAATTATAATTATATCGTTTTCGTTCCTGACTTTTACTATTTTAAAACATTTAAACTGTTATAAATAATAAATTACGCATACTACGCTGTAATAATTTATGATCATATAATATTTATTATATATTTTCTTTTTAATTTATAAACCAAAATTGACGTAACTGTATTAAATGTTAGAATTAAATTAAGAAACACATATTCGAGTTTTATTTTATTTTTTAGTTTAGTTGAAATTATTATATTTTTATCCAATTTTGTATTATTCACGCTAAAGAATTAATAATAGATAAAGAAATACGATTTTTTATTGTTATAAAGTAATAATAATTAGGTAAAAACTTATATAATATATTATAATATATATACTAATATAAACGCTATATTTATTTTAAATAGTGAAAAAATAAAGTTGTAAACATGCGCCAATAGCAATAATATAATAATTCAGTAAGATTTTTACTTTATATGCAGTTCATAATTATAAATGCATCAATATAAATATTTAAAATTTGTTACAGTAAATAAATTTTAACATTTTCAATTAAAAAACAATTTTTTCATAAAATCATTAACTTTAATAAAAATGAAAAATAGAGAGAGAGAAAAACGGAAAGTAAACACAATCTCAAGCTATCTCGTCCAGAATAAAAACATCGGTCTAGTTAGGCTCATCATATGCAGTTATTTACAAAAAAATTCAGATGCCTTTAGTTCATAAAATAAATAATTAGGTATACCTATCGTTTTACTCCCTCAGGAAATCTCCTGTATACATAAGCCCCTTTTAATACATGCAATATATATTTTTCATGAATACCCGTTGTGTATTCAAGCATTTCTTGTTGTGCTTGATATATTATATACACTGTACACACATCATAGACACAACAGGTGGCACTCATAACTTAAACGAGTTCTATCCATTATTATGGAGCGACGTACTGCACTACAATATAATTTTTTTGTTCAACACATTTTTTGAAAACCTATATTTTAAATATTATAATATATTGTATTGTAGTTTTTGAAAACTGAAAATATCTATGAATAAATATCGTAAATTGAATAGACACAGCTGGAAAGTACGAATAATAAACGAGCGTGTGAAGCAAGATGAACAATACACATAAATTGTAAATATATTTTTGAAATTTTTACCGTATAATTTTTACAATAAGTAAGTAGGCAATTTAATTATAATATAATATAGAGTAATAGTTACTAATATCAATAATAGTAGTAACCATTAGGTTTACTTAGAACAACTATCTACTTGACTTATGTTGACCATATAAATATAACATATTACATATGAATAAATGATTAAGGAAACTGGTAACTGTATAATATAAATTAAATTTCAATAGAAATTTTAACTTATTAATGGGCTGTCGTTATCTTAACGCCAATATAAGATTTCTAATTTCCATATAAATGGCTTTTGTTAACTATTTTTGACGTGACTAAGGACTACGGAGCAAATCAGCTCTACTACAGAGATTTAAACTTAAACTACTCTCAAAACTCATAAACAACTAGTTCAACAATCTAAGACTTCAAATTTTTTTTGGAAAAAATTTAAAAAAATAAGTATAATTTGCGCATACATAAGGAAATGGGCATTTGGCATTAAAAAGGTCACTCAGTACAATTGTACAAACCAAATGAACTAATAAACGATCACCGCAACGTTGGACGTGTTATATTATCGGCTGGCACGATGTTCGATTTTTTTTTCTATTTGTATTTTTAGTATACTGTTCGCAGGATCTATACCATAATACACCTACGTTCGAGTAAAAATGTACAATATATATCACAATAAACAATATAACGGGGAACGATCTGAAAAGTGAACCAATTCCGTACACATACTCCTACATTGGTAATATAATTATTATTAATGCCACGGCGCATATTTGCGAGAAAACGTTGGCTGCTGCAGCGAGGCCTTAACCCGGCAGCACAACTTGTTTCCACCCGAGTGATAGGTAAACCGGTTGTATATATTATATTATGTGTAAATATACGACAGCAGATTCGACGGTTGCGCTGTTGTATGCGTATTAATGTATTTTATGTATAAAAATATATAATATTATAATACACCAACAGCAATGCCTGGCTGCGGCGTAATGGCGTAAGAAAAAGCATAATCGAAAACTGAAGGACTTTATAACAGACACAGATACACAGACGCACAGACATACACACTTAAATTAATATATTATTCCGGATGACTTTGTTGAATAATATTTTACTGCTACTATTAATGCATGCACGTCAATTTGTTACATATTAGGTATATACAGTTCTAACAGCCATAGAATATAATATTACACACTTTTTTCCGCGCTATAGGCTCGCGCGGTTCAAAACAATACAAATTACATAAATACCAGAAACAACCGAATCGAAAAAAATGCGATCAGCATTAGTTTCTAGCTGAACGGAAATATTCAGATGCTAATTTTGATAATTGTACCAATGCATTATCATTAGTCATTACATTATTGAACGCGTTTTGCTATCAATAGTATTTGTAAATTATATCAATTTAGTCATAAGTCATAAGCTATGCGCACGAATAATGAAACCTAAAATTATATATTATATTTAAGATGAATTATGTAACAAAAACAAGAACAGTTGAACCACAAAATAGACTGCAGTAGAGCATTAACATTTTATATCCAAATAAAATGCCACACGTTTAATATATTTATATGAATTATCTTTCCTAATCAAAATATTTGACATATCCTATAAGAATATGTGTAGTTAATATTTCTGGACTACAAAAAACGGTTAAGTTACGGTAAAGTTTACAAGAAATAAACGCTTTTGAATGTTGCCAATTTTACTTTTATTTTTTGGAAATGGCCCAGTTATATACATAATATATCTAGGTGGATAAAAATATGGACAAGACATCTAAGATAGTAAAACGTCAATTGTATTAATTGACGCAAGGTGTTGGCATTATTACTTTATAGGTTAAGGTTGAAGAGCTTGGTTGAACATGATAAGTATAAAAGTATTATATAGATACTGATACTAACTACATAAAATAAACATTAGATACTTAAATAAAAAACATTAATTTAAATAATAACAATTGTTATATCGTGTAAAGATTAAACACAAAAAATCGAATGCATAACAATTTATAACTTGTAATAAAGGGATCCTGACAATTATTTACACTTGTTTAAATAAGTTTAACTCTGATAAATTATTTGAAAAATTCAAAACATCTGTTCAAACACATTTTTATTGAGCGTTGTTAATTTGCAAAATGTTGAAGACAAAACAGCAATATAATTTCATCAACATTATCTTTATAAAAAATACAATAAAACACTAAAGTTAATTAAAATGAATTCGAAGGCCTTTTAATTATACAGTTCAATATATATACACTTGTAGTATCTGTTATTTCATTCAAACCTTATAACTTATAAGTTATAAAAGTTATCAATAATTTTAATAGTATTAAAAAAACGCACAGTTAATAGTACATATACTTCAATAACATTTTAGTGAGAAAAAACCAAAAATACAAACGAAAAGTAGAAACGTTTATTTTATACACAT